CATTTAAAGTAATATCATTAAGTTGTAAAGTGAAAAATTGATCATGGTTGCCCTTTAAGAACAACACAGGAGTAATAAACTTTTTCATTTTCCTTCTGGTCATGGTATCATGGAGATTTGTAGAGTTTATGAAATAAATTAAACATTTTGTGCATGTTCCTGTTTTATAAATGGGAAACATTTGGGAAAAGGAGTTTAGCCAAAAAAAAGGACTTGAGTTGAGTCCATATTGGATGATGCTTAGATAAGGCAGAGCAAGCTCTGGGCATTGTGCACTGTCAGTATGCTCGCCAATAATCGTACCAGTGGCTGAATTACAGCAAGCGCTAAGGGTATAGAAATTGTTTACTAATTAATCTCACAGGTGTTAAATATCTGTGGAATTTATAGATAATTTAGAATTTGACAAAGACCTAATTACCCATTGAGAACCACATCTTAAAGGACCACTATAGTGCCAGGAAAACATACTCGTTTTCCTGGCACTATAGTGCCCTGAGGGTGCCCCCACCCTCAGGGACCACCGCTCTGGGGAGAGGAAGGGGTTAAACTTACCTCTTTGTCCAGCGCCGGGCGGGGAGCTCTCCGCCTTGTATACTCCTCTTCGGCTGAATGCGCATGCGCGGCAGGAGCTGCGTGCGCATTCAGCCAGTCTCATAGGAAAGCATTCAAACGCAAACGCATCTAGCGGCTGTCAATGAGACAGCCACTAGAGGCTTAAGAGACTGGATTAACCTATTTATAAACATGTTTATTAAAAAAAAGGGTTAATCCTAGCTGGACCAGGCACCCAGACCACTTCATTAAGCTGAAGTGGTCTGGGTGCCTATAATGTGCGGATTAGTTTACTTTTACAAACGATTCCATATTAATCGATTTTAAAGCTTTTCAAAGTTAGATGAACATGTCCCTCATTTTTTTTCATGTTTTTTTTCACTTGACGTTTTTGGGGAATCCAAGCTTCCAAAATATTTTACTTTGATGCATCTCCAAACAAAATAAAAAGCATTGCCATTGGCAACTTCAGACTTTTAATTAAAGCTTTGATAGTAAATAACTTTGAAAGACATGTTACATTTATGTGTAGACGTGTGACCAAAGTTCATTCAGCAAATTTAACTCCTACAGATTAAGAATTTGTCTTAGATGTGGTTTGGAAGAGAACAAACATATGTTTCAAATAATATTTTTTTTTTGATTGTTTAAAGTCACATTTTGACTCCCATAATAACTAAACTATGTATCACGCTGATACATTTAATTACCTTATACTGCAATGATTCTCCAAAATCAAGAAATATAAATGCTAATATTTTTTTTTATGCACCTCTCATACTTAACTCCTTTAGACTGGATAAACTGGGATATATCTGACTAGCAAAGCAAGGGGGCCGGGGGGAGAACGGGGTACTCCACAGATACTTTACTGATCAGGTATATCAAGGGCAGATGGTACGGCCACACGCCCAAGTCATCAAGACAACAAGAAGCCCACAAATGGGATGTAGGGCAGCCCCAGCCGAATGCTGACAAAATGATGCAGATTAATCACCAACATGTGCAAAGTATATGCCCCTTAGGTTGCCATGTGTTATCAGAGACAAGAAGAGCAATCAAATAAGTCGTCAAAAAGGCTATAATTCATCAAATATCCAGTAGCACAAACCGCTCACCATGCCAGTCAAGTCCCGACCCCGCAATTTCCAATTTTAATGCAGGTAATTGAATTACGGTATAAAAGGACTGTCTATCACAAAGGCAAAGATTGGGGGGGGGAGGTAAACACAGTTAACTATTAGCAGGGGCTGGAAAGTAAATCAGTATAAATTCACGCAACCATGCAAATCCTAATCCCTGACAATGTTTCACAATCAGAGCTTCTAATTACAAAGCAAAATAGATTCTTAATAAGAGCCCATGGGAGGTTTAGAGCTGAAAAGCTTTTCCCTTTTAAAAGAAAATATGGTGTTCTAAAAATTAAAATTGAATCATTGTCTCTATGCAATATGTCATTGTCTTGTTACTGGATCCAATTACAAATCTATTCATTTACATATAGTTTTTTAGAATTAAAGGAAAATAAATCTCAGAAACATTTCTTGAGCTAATTGTATCTGCATGAATGGTCCCTCGTTAAAAGAACACACAATGCACCCACACATGCCTGGTACCAAAGTTAATTTTGTTCGGTGTGGTTTTTTAAAAATTTATTTGGGGGTTTTGTTTGCAATTTTTTGCATTACAATAAAATGAAATAGTGTTGTTACATTCAGTATGTAGCAATTACAATTACCCTGAAGATTCTGTAAAATAAATGTATGTTATTCGAGTGCTCGAGTTTTCATTGGCTTTGTATCTGTGTTAACGCTCGTTCAATATGTTATCCATAGATCTATCTGTTCAGGCCTTTCGGCTCATAGAATATAAGGAGCTGTGTACTATTTAATTGGTTAAACTTAAATGTGAACAGTATTCAAAACAAAGTTACCCAATATCTCATGCATAGATTTTAAAAAAGGGGAGTGAGGGTGTCGATTCCATGTTTTACACTTCGAAGAATAGATTGTAATCTCTTGGAAAGGATTTTCACCAATAGATTGATGTCTTTTAGAAGGGAAATAGGGTGAAAATGTGTACAGTGTTCTCCGTTCAGCTCTAGGAATAAGTGTTAAATTGGTTGCCAACATTTGCATTGGTATTGTGTAGAGTTGAGGGAACCCGGACTGTAAAGTTCGGGTTCCTACCGAACATTAAGTTTTTTGAACCCTGGACCCGAACACGGACATATCACTGTATGTTCGGGTTGGAGTTCGATGTTCAGCAATTTAATGGCGCGTTTTCAAAGGCTGCAGGGCAGCCAATCAACAAGCGTTTGACTTGTGTGCCCTTATAAGCCATCACAGCCATGCCTACTAATGGCATGGCTGTGATTGGCCAGTGCAGCATTTGACCCAGCCTCTATATATGAGCTGGAGTCGCGTAACGCCGCACGCACATGAGGTCTTATTAGTGTAGGGAGAAGATGCTGCCGCTGTGAGGGACAGCTTAGGAAAGAATTCTGCAAACTAGTACATTAGTGGGGTGCACTTCATATCTGAGAGTCAAATAGAAGCATCAAATACTGCTGTCACATTGCAGATTTAAAACTTGAAATTTTTTGGGTGCTAAAAAGTACATTAGTGGGGTGCACTTCATATCTGAGAGTCAAATAGAAGCATCAAATACTGCGGTTACATCGGAGTTTTAAAAAGTCAATTTTTTTTGGTGCTAAATAGTACATTAGTGGGGTGCACTTCACATCTGAGAGTCAAATAGAAGCATCAAATACTGCTGTCACATTGCAGATTTAAAACTTGAAATTTTTTGGGTGCTAAAAAGTACATTAGTGGGGTGCACTTCATATCTGAGAGTCAAATAGAAGCGTCAAATTGTGCGCTTACAGCGCAGTTGTAAACATTCTAATTGTTTTGCTGCTAATCTACTAAATAGTACATTTTGGGGCCTGCTCTTCATATCTGAGAGTCAAATAGAAGCGTCAAATAGGCACTTGCAGCGCAATTGTAAGCATTCTTATTTTCTGGGTGCTAATCTGCTAAATAGTACATTTTGGGGCCAGCTCTTCATATTTGAGAGTCAAATAGAAGCGTCAAATAGTGCGCTTACAGTGCAGTTGTAAAAATTCTAATTATTTTGCTGTTAATCTGCTAAATAGTACATTTTGGGGCCTGCTCCTCATATCTGAGAGTCAAATAGAAGCGTCAAATAGTGCGCTTACAGCGCAGTTGTAAAAATTCTTATTTTCTGGGTGCTAATCTGCTAAATAGTAAATTTTGAGCCTGCTCTTCATATCCAAGAGCCAAATAGAAGCGTCAAATAGTGCGCTTACAGCGCAGTTGTAAGCATTCTTATTTTCTGGGTGCTAATCTGCTAAATAGTACATTTTGGGCGTGCTCTTCATATCTGAGAGTCAAATCGAAGCGTCAAATACCAATATAACAATATTGTAATTCGGGGGCAATACCCTCACAAGTCAAACTGAGAGGTCAGTTTATAGGGAAAACTGTTGCCTGGATACAATTCTAAAACAATTTCCATATGTCCTTTGCAGACTTTACATGCTGGAAAACACAGGTGCCAACTGCTGTGGCTTTCTGCAGTGTGCAGACCGGCAATGAGGGCAGGGTTGAGGAGTGGGTGGAAGATGATGAGGTCCTAGACCCCACATGGAATCAATGTCAGGCGAGTGACGTGTGCAGTTTGGAGGAAGAGGTGCTGGTCGCACAGAGGCACCAGCACAGCATAAGAGGGAGTACGGTGCAAAAGCGGAGCGGCCGTCCACTAGTGCTCGTCGGCATGTATTATCTTTAGAATTCCCCCAGTTAATCAAGTAACAGATGGAGTAATAAAAGGAACCATAACAGATTTAACGAGCCATTCGCAGTTTCGCAGTCCAGTGACCAGGACCCAGACACTGTCTGGGTGGCGGTCGGACGACCAGGACCCAGTACGCCTGATGTTGAAATTAGGAGTCACAGTGTGGAATGGATTAGCAGCGTCTGGTGCAGGGTAACCGCACGCCCCCTGGTGTTGAGCACCAGTGTTTGTGCGGCCACATACCAGGACCCTGATGCAGCTTCAGTAAAAAGAGTACTGAATTCCAGAAGCCATCACCAGACTGATCCGCAACTTGGAACAGGATGTGACATTTACTGTAGCCGCTGTGCGCGCTTTCAGCGTTCTCATCCTGCTGCTGCTCGCCTGCCTGCGCTGCAGCGTAACTTTGGACTTCCCACTCACCGCCTCATATGCGACGTGCCCACAAGGTGGAACTCCAGCAGCAGGCGATAGTGGAGTTTCAGCTGCAGCACGCACGGGTCAGTCACTCTGCACCAGACTTGCCCTCCAATTGATCAGAGTTAAAGGATTTCAGGTGGACTCATTACAATTACAGGGCCTCTAAACTACCTCCCAGCATCGGGAGTGGGTCATTTGCGCGCCTGCTGCCTTCCTTGCATGTGGTAGCCGTTTGTCAGGGCCCCTGTACGGAATCGAACCGTGATTCCCCATTACCCGTGGTCACCATGGTAGGCGCAGTAAATGACATCGAAAGTTGATATGGATTGACATACGAATTCGTCTTGGCCTTGTCGTTGGGGAGCACATTGAAAAAGTGCTCTAGCATGACGAGCTGGGTGATCTCCTCTGGGAACTTGACTTGATGGGAGTTGAGCCAGTTCTGGGTGGCCCTTGTGATGTGGCATGCCCACTCCGCATGGGAGTTCTTCTCCCCTTTTCGGGTCTCCCTAAAATTTCGGCGGTATTGCTCGGGGGTGACCGCATACCGGGCCAGGAGGATTTGTGTAATAAAGGGATAGTCTCTGATCTGCTCTTCTTGTACAACCCGGTAAATATCCGCTGCCTTCCCCACTAGTTTGCTGGCCAGGATGGTGACCCAGTCGCTGGGGTCCACGTCTTGGAGTAGGCACTGACGCTCAAAGTCTTGTAAAAAGTCATCGATGCCTTCTTCTGCTTCCTTGAAGTCTTTGAAGGCATTGTATGGTAGCTTGTGGGCCAGGGTGGTTGTGCTTCCCGGCACCCTCTGCTCCCTTCTTCCTTCATCTGGGTTCATGTAGGTCGCCCTCTGTCTATTGGCAAGGACATAGGCTTGCACCTCTAAAAAGGTCCTGCTGACAATAACCTCTGAGGGTGGCTCTCGGTAATATGCCAGGTGCCATTCACCTCCTTGCGCACTTCCTCCTCATCTCTTGCCCCTGGCTGGGGTTCTTTGCCTCACTGCGTGTCTGGTCGTCCTCCATGAGTGCAGCAGTCAATTTGGCCTTGTTACGCCCACCAGGCGTTATTCCTCTGGCTCCACACAAGTCCTGCAGTGTAGGTCACTTTAGAGCACTGTAGTCCATGGGTCTGTTGGCAGGAACATGGGATCCCGCCGCTTGCCACCAATTGAAGCTTACCCCAAACTGGAGAGGATCATACCATATGTGAAATTGCAAAAAAAAACTGAATTGGAAGTCCTAATCAGAGAAACATAAAGCATAAAAAGTTCTAAACACTAAATACATTCAAAATTATGAAAAAATTAACACACCTGAAATGTGAGTTCTAATTGGATTTATGTTCTTATTTAAGCTATGTACGTTTCATTTATGTTTTGTATGCTGTCCTGATGAAAGCTCCCAAGAGGAACTGAAACGTTGACTTACGGAGTAAAGTATTTTTTTGGTTATTTACAAACCCTGGGAGTGTTGATTATTTATTTGTTTTATATCTATTGTGCAATCGAGCACCGGGTTCTAATCTTTTTCGGTAGGAGTGCAAGGCTTTTTGTCCACTATATATATATATATATATGTATATATATATATATATATAAAAACAGTGTTGGCTACCTCCTCCACCACCGCTTCCACCTACACTGCCACGGTCACCGCCTCCTCAACCTATGGGTCACTTAGTATAAACTATGTACACAATAGCAGAGGCTTGTGAAGGCCTTTTCTCCATGCATCAGGAGTTGAGCTCAGTTTGAACAATGAAAGAGAATACCCTGCACTCCAACCCTCTCTCAAATGGATAATTCTGGTGATCCTCCTGACAGCCATGCTTTAGATTTTGATTTATGTTCTTCCAAAGCTAAAATCAAAGATTCCATCTAGTGCTATTTTATGGCTCAGCTGTATTTTAAATTTGTAGGTATTTTATGTTATTTTAAGTGATTTCCCTATCCACATTTGTTTGCAGGGCACTTGTCCTACTCTTACCCCAATTTTACTTCATTTTGCAGCCCTCTAGCCCTTTCCAGGACTTTTTTAGAGGCATTTTTGTGCCCAAAAGTTCGGGTCCCCATTGACTTTAATGGGGTTCGGGGTCAAGTTTGGGGTCAAGTTCGATCACGAACCCGGACTTTTTTTCAAAGTTCGGCTGAACCGGCCGAACCCGAACATTCAGGTGTCCGCTCAACTCAAGTATTGTACTACCTTCTCGGATTGAGTTAAAGGCTGTGAGGAATCTGGGGTGCACTTGCTGTACCAATAAAACAATGCACATGGGATAAGTTTAGCAATGCTCTATTAGGTGAAGTAGATATATGACTGGATGAGTCACTTCCTGGTCTAGACAGAAGTAACTTCAACATCTGTAAAGCTTTGGAATATCTAGCAAATATTCCAGGATCTTTGACAGTTTTTTTTTTTATTTTTATTATTTCCAATTTTGCCAATTTTTTGTTTCATGTATTTTTTTATAAATTATCTACATCTATTTTACATTAAAAATAAAGTCAAATTTCAGTCTGAAGAATCACATTATAACAAAAGCCTTTTAATGAATAAGGGGAAGCCATCAAAGTCACAGATGGTCTATTCAGTTAGAATCCATGTTGCATCAGCTTCAAGGCAGTGCTTTTGTCCCCGGTGGGAGAAGTAGCATATAGTTCGGTCCGCTGTCCATTTTATTTGTCTGCTTTTTGTCAACTGCCCATGTTGTTTTTTTAAAATTTAATTTAGCGTTGTACTTCACCAGTTCTCTTTCTACCGCATTAAAGGACCACTATAGTGCCAGGAAAACATACTCGTTTTCCTGACACTATAGTGCCCTGAGGGTGCCCCCACCCTCAGGGACCCCCTCCCGCCGGGCTCTGGAGAGAGGAAGGGGTTAAACACTTACCTTTCTTCAGCGCCGGGCGGGGAGCTGTACTTCTCCTCTCCTCCTTGCTCGCGACGTCATCGGCTGAATGCACACGCGCGGCAGGAGCCGCGCGCGCATTCAGCCGGTCGCATAGGAAAGCATTTACAATGCTTTCCTATGGATGCTGGCGTGCTCTCACTGTGATTTTCACAGTGAGAAGCACGCAAGCGCCTCTAGCGGCTGTCAATGAGACAGCCACTAGAGGCTCTGGAGGCTGGATTAACCCTCAGTATAAACATAGCAGTTTCTCTGAAACTGCTATGTTTATAAAAAAAAGGGTTAATCCTAGAGGGACCTGGCACCCAGACCACTTCATAAAGCTGAAGTGGTCTGGGTGCCTAGAGTGGTCCTTTAAGCTGACAATTGAAGTACAACTTGTCACGGCAAGGGTGCATAATTTATTGTTACACTATGGAATATTATCCTTTAATGTAATTTGTGTAGTAAATGGCACAAATTACAGAGATGGTATTGTTGAGGTACAAAAGGGGTTACATCTTTTGAAGCTGGGACCCCCACAGAGGTCAGATGACAGAAGGGGTAGTATGAATGGCATAGCAATGTGAAAAGGATTTTACTATATGGATGTGAAGTAATCAAGGCTCTGCAAGGTGTGAGGTTCTACACTTGGAAAAAGTCTGAATGTCTCTTCATCCATTTGGCATGTACCTTGTAAGGGATGAGCCAATCTCTTTGATATGTAAATGCCATTAGCCTTGTTCCAGTATCATATCCAAAGGAAGGACAAAAACATTCATATTTACCCCCACAGAATAATAATAAAGCCTCATTTTTTTTATACTTGGAATGTGACAAGTGCCATCTTCTAACCAAGTCCAAACATGAGTGGCCTAACTTGACCATAGGGGAAGGAATAGTGGTGTCCATCCTCTCGAATCGCAAGGTCGGCATGCAACATATGTATAGAATGGGAAAATAATAATAAATTCATAGAGGCAATTATTATTTCTTTGGCGGGTACATAAGAGAAAATAGAACCAAATGTTTCCATTTGGATTGATGTGGGTCTGGACACAAGAGGGTGGTCACTTATTATTTCTGTAGGTACGCCTTAACTCCACCTCGGGGTGAAGGGTGCTAGTGAATCTAATTCTAAGTGAGTCACCATCTTTCCTTGCCAGAGACCCCCTGGACAGAAGTTGTACTTTGAAAACCTAAGTAGTAGGACTTCTGTATTTTATCCTTTTTGTTTTTATCTGTTGTTGGTGTAAATAATTTGTTTATCATATATTTTTATATGCTCTGTGACTATTTTTTGCTCATAATAAACGTTCATTTATTAAGTTCTGCCTTTGTCTGGTTAAGAATCACGTTACCTGAAGAGACTAATTAGTATTTTTGTAATTCCTTAAATATTGTGCTAAGCAATATTTGGTGGGTTTTCTTATTGATTTACCTGGGGGACCAAGGCACCCCATTTATAAATTGTCTTGGTGGTGGCAGCGTTAAAATAGTAATAGTTTTATTATTATGTTTAAGTGTGGGTGGTGTTAAAGGGGGATTTTGTCATTATTTCCGGTCTAGTGGAGACAAATAGTAAACTTTAACCCTTTCACCACCACAACTACGTCACGCACACTCTTGGAGTAGGGTGCGTTCGTGACACAACTCGTTGAAAACTTTGTTATGCTTTAATACACTGTACTTTTATTACTGAACCAATAACCTTCTTAGAACTTATGTTCGAGTGATGAATCTCTGAGTGACTCAGAAAGAACTAATGCACTATACTTTGATCATCCTTGTTTCTATTCAGGATGGCCTTGATTTAAATGGTTGTGTGGTCCAACACAACATGGAGAAACTGATCACACTGACTGAGCTAATATGAGTTTTTTGGGGGTTCTAGATATCCAGATAAAGGCACCTGTTGTATGGAAAAACAATTGTATAACTCAAAATACCTGAAAAAGTAGTCAACATACCTCTAAAACATATATGCAAACACAAAAAATAAAACATAAATAAATGTACGTAGATATAAATAAAATATACAAATATAAAAATAAGAATAAAAAAATAGAGAAATGTCTGAATAAGTTTCCATATTGTTACAGTTCTTCTGGAAGTACAAAACGGTCAATCATTTCATAATTTCCCTTATATATATATCAACACAGAAATTAAAGGAATATTTATGTAAAATAAAACACCTAACATAACTAATTGTAATGTAGCCTACATTTTTTACCTAAAATATAGAACCTTTGCATGTCCCTTAAAATAGCTCTCCACAATATGTAGAACTATCCTGAAAAAGAGACCGGGTCTGCAACGTTAACTCTTATTTGTATTTAATGTGTAAGGCCTTTTAAATAAGGACAGGTGGAGCAATCAGTTTTTCATTCACTTCTATTATGGATTTAGATGTTTTATCCATCCTGCATTAAAAAGCCAAAGAGCGCAGGTGGTCTTGTATCCTCCAAATCTTCTCCAGCTGGTCAGAGTGTCAGATGTT